CTAATCCTCCGCCTTGCGGCGCCAGCACACCGGGTTCTAGTCCCGGTTGGGGCGCCGGATTCTGTCCCAGTTGCCCCTCTTCCAGGCCAGCTCTCTGCTGTGGCCAGGGAAGTGCAGTGGAGGATGGCCCAAGTGCTTGGGCCCTGCACCCCATGGGAGACCAAGAGAAGCACCTGGCTCCTGCCATCAGATCAGCGCGGTGCACCGGCTGCGGCGCGCTGGCAGCGGCGGCCATTGGAGGGTGAACCAACGGCGAAGGAAGAACTTTCTCTCTGTCTCTCTCTCTCACTGTCCACTCTGCCTGTCAAAAAAAAAAAAAAAGATTGATAATACTGTGCTTGTACTGTGTTCTGCTACAAATAAAGCAGAGTTTGGAGTTGTCAGAGCTCAGAAAACATACCCCAAAGACTGGCACTTGAGATGTGAGAGGCCTTAGGAGCGGCCTCAGTATTATAGTTTCCTAATCTTGTCTTGTTTCTCCTCCCTTGTTCCAGAGAACAGCTCTCTCTGGTATTCCCTTATTTGTACTAAGACCAGACCCCACAATGCTCTCTCTGGTATTCCCTTATTTGTACTAAGACCAGACCCACAATGCCTTCCATCCCCACCCTGAAATCCCATTATCTATGTCAGAAAAGGTTGAGGAATGTGACCACACCTGCAAAGATTTCCTTACAAGATGATGCCTGTCCCTTGGCCTCATTCAAATTCCAAAAAGAATCATTTTACAAACTAATTTCTGTCTCATGGACTTTCATTCTCCTAATAGTCATTTAGGACCCTCAGAATTGTCACATTCTCCGTTCTTCCCCGCTCCTATAGAAAACAGATATCTATCTATCTGTCTGTCTATCTATCTGTCTATCTATATACTTACATACTTATGTATACTGTATATACTTGTGTGTTTTGTTGGACTAGTAGGTGATCACACTCTGGGAATGTATCCCCTTTTGCATCTTAATGAATTTCTGTGCCTCTTCCCCATAAAATCTTCCTGTTGTCCATTCATTTCAGAAAACTTTAAAGGACAAAGGGGGAGATTTCTCTTTCTCCTGCAGAGTGTAGGTCATACAGGAGCCTAGGAATCCAAACTTTGAATGCCAAGACAGAGACTGAGTCCTTACCCTCTGGGTTGAAGGTCACAGGGCAACTGTGTTTCCTGTGCTCCCACTTGAGTCATACTCAAGGCTGCTACTGGCTCTGAGAACTCCATGTCAGAACTGGCTCAGTAATCTTCCACTTTCAGAATGCTGAATTTCATTCTATGTCCCCAAGAGATCTCTCTTGCGTAGATCTTCCAGGTTTTCCATTTTAGGCATTTTAAATCCTGGAGAAGCACCCCTCTTCTTATTTTAGATAAAACTGCTTTATGTAATTGACAGAAACCAAGATCTCATTACAAATCCATGCTGTAGATGAAAGAACCATTGGTGACTCAAGATGCCTCTCTCTTGAGTTCAAACAAGTGGATGTACTGTCTCTCAGTAAATCTAACATGGCTTCTTCACATTTCCCTTTAGTAAAACAAAAGGGAACAGAAAACAAATGTAAACTTTTTGCAGAACTAACTGGAGCTAATTTGGCCATTTGCAATTGTGAGGGTTGGGAAATTAGAGGTGGGCGGAGCTATGTATCTCTACCCTACATTCTCACCACCATGCAGTGGGAAGCAAGTTTTATCTTGTGTCTTGTCTGTTACACAAAAACATATTTGCAGGCATCAGCTTAATGAGATCTCAGTTCTTTGTCCTTTCAGGGACTCTGACAAAACCTGGAAAGAAAGAATTCCTACAATAAAAATGAACTACACACACACACAATATCATTTGACTGTGTTACCAGCTAAACTTCTTTTTGGATTCCAAGTGGCTTGTTAGGTGAAGAACAAGATTGGAAGGTGTTGTCTACATAAAGCCCACTCTGAGATGTTAGACTGCAGAACTGGTAGGTTTATTATTTGTAGGTTGTAATTAAAGACCTGTACTTTTTTAGTTGTTTATTGAACTGCACTCAATTTTAAGATAAATACTGTTTCTAGCATCAGTATTAACAAAGCCTCCAGTGTGTATTTACATAGCACCTTGTGGCTTGCTTCCCAGAATCACTGCTGGGGGGTAAACTCATAATAAAGACTGTTAGGATGTTAACTAACCACATGCAGAGGAGGTATTGCAAACTAGAGAACTTCAAAAAAAGTGGACTGACCTCATGTGTAGATAAAAGTTAACTTGCAAAGGTGGGTGCTTTGCAGAGTGGCTTAATTTACCACTTGGGACACCCATATCCTACCCATACATGGCTGTCTGGTTCAAGTTTGCCAACATGCAAACCAGCTTCCTGCTAATGTACACAGTGGGAGGCAGCAGATGATAGCTCAAGTACTAGCATCCCTGCCACCCATGTGGGAGACCCAGATGGAGGTCCAGGCCCCTGGTTTTGGCCTGGCCCAGTCCTGTCTATTGAAGCCATGTGGGGAGTGAACCAGAGGATGGAAGATTTAGTTTTCTTTTTGTTGCCTTTGCTTTGGGGGTCTTGTCCAAGAAGTCATCTCCTATGCCAACGTCTTGGAGTGTTTCCCCGACATTTTCTTCCAGCAACTTCATAGTCTCAGGTCTTAAATTTAGGTCTCAGTTGATTTTTAGATACAATGAGAGAGATGGATCTAATTTCATCCTTCTACATGTTAAATTCAGTTTTGCCAGCACCATTTGTTGCAGAGACTATCCTCACTCTACTGTGTGGTCTGAGCACTTTGTCAAAAATCAGTTGGTTATATGTATATGGATTGATCTCTAGGCTCTTTATTCTGTTCAGTTGATCTATGTGTTGGTTTTTGTGCCAGTACCATTCTATTTTAATTACTAAAGCTTTGTAGTTTTCTTTGAAGTCAGGTATTGTGATGCCTCCAGCTTGATTTTTCTTGTTCAGGAGGAAATGGACAGTCTTATATCTATATAACACCTTTCAACATTGCTTTTTAAAATTCTTATAAAAATTTTACATACATAACTTTATTTCAACTTCACAGAAATTGAGATAGGAATTACCATCTCTATTTTCTGATAATAAAATTGACGTTTGAAAGATAAATAGCTCTTCCCACAATTAGTAAAACTCTCCACTCAAAAACAGTAGAGTGAGTTCCAACCCTGTTGTTCAAATTTCAGCTCAGGATATTTTGATAAAGGTTTGGCTCTCAGAGAGAGTCCAGGAATCCAAAGTTCCAGGGAAATCAGAAAGATTGTCAGCAAAGCAACATCTCGGGCCAGCTCCCTGGCTCACTAGGCTAATCCTCCGCCTGCAGTGCCGGCATCCCATATGGGCACTGGGTTCTAGTCCTGGCTGCTTCTCTTCCAGTCTTGCTCTCTGCTGTGTCCCGGGAGGGCAGTGGAGGATGGCCCAAGTCCTTGGGCACCTGCACCCACGTGGGAGACCAGGGGAGGAGCCTGGCTCCTGGTTTCGGATCAGCGTAGCTCTGGCCGTAGCGGCCATTTGGGGGGTGCACCAATGGAAGGAAAACCTTTCTCTCTGTCTCTCTCTCTCTCTCTCTCTCTCTCACTATCTAACTCTGTCAAAGAAAGAAAAAAAAGAAAAAGAAAAGCAACATCTCAGTCCCTTCCCCGCCCCAACCTATAAGCACTGAGTCAAAATCCTCTTAAGTTGAATTGCCCAGTGAAGTTTGAGAAGTGTTGGCCTAGTGCAGGCATTATTTAGCAAATAAAGTATCAAAAGAACATAACCACATCCATTCATCTGTGGGTGGTCGGTGGCTACATTTGCCCTTTGGTAGCTGAGTTAGTATTACAACAGAGACAGCATGGCAAGCATGATAAGCATGACCCACAAATCATAAAATATTTAGAGTGTGGATCTCATCAAAAAGTTTGTTGACCTTGGGTCTTGTGCAGTGCTTCTTGAGCTCTGTGTCAAAGGACCAGTTTTTTTTCTGTTCCTAATTTTCAAAATATCATGAATCAGTATTTCCTGTAAATACAATGAAAATGAGTTGTTTAAAAAAAAGCAAAAAGACATAAAAACATGAGTCAGAGTGAAAAAAAATCACTAGGCTTAACAGCCCTTAAATTACTCTATCAAATTGCTTAAGAAGTTTGTGATTGATTATCATCTATTTTTTAAAAGATTTATTTTTTTTATTTTATTTTATTTGAAGGGCAGAGTGATAGGAAGAGAGAGAGTGAGAAAAAGAGAGAGATCTTCCATTAACTGGTTTACTCCACAGATGGCTGTAACAGCCAGGGCTGGGCCATACCAAAGCCAGGGACTCCATCTCCCACATGGGTGACAGGTGCACAAGTACTTGTGCCATCATGTGCTTTCAGGTACATTAGCAGAACCCTGGATCAGAAGCAGAGTAACTGGGACTCAAGCCATCACCCTGACATGGAATTTAGGCATTGCAAGTGGAGGCATAACCGATCACACCACGGACGCACCCTGATTACTCTCAATTCCCACAGCAGTCTTGGCCTGATGACATTTTGCAGAAGAGCAATAGCCTGTAAAGGGAACATTCAGCAGCTCCAGGTTAAGGAGCACAGCCCATTTGCTTTCATTTTTCTCGGCAGTTCTAACTTGTCACCGAACAGCCTATTTAGTGAAATGATAATGAAACCTAGGAATTATAACTGTTTCCAAAGTGCACAATGCCATCACTCTAAGCAGTTCAGCCGATGTTTTATTTACCACTCTCTCAACACAGCTGCTAGTTTCCAACCGCCTTGTTATCTCAGAAATGTATGCAGCCTTGGCTGCTACTTTGCATTAAGTGGTGCTTACCAACTTAATCCTGAACTCTCAGTTTTAAATATAGTATCTATGCTCACACCATTGAAGGGACAAACCCCTTGAAAAATATCACTCTGAGACCGTGGAGAACTCACTCAATCTGTTATCTAATTGGCACACAAAGCAAATGTTAGACTCCAGAAAACAAAAGAAACAGAAACACACTTTCCGAAGTCCCCTAGAAAAATTACCTGCAGTCTGGGAAAATGAAAAGCCTCCAACTCCCCTTTATTAGCTGGTCACGCGTTGCTAGGCGACAAGTTCTCAACGGCTCTTGGCCTGTGTCTGCAGCCAGGCTTTTAGGAGTGAGACGCCTTTGTGAGTCCCCAAGAGTCCTCAACTCTGACTCTTTCTGTCTTCTCTGCCTACTGTTCAGTGGCTGTGTGGAAACTCTGCCTGCATCTGAGATCCTGGCAAGATCCCTGACCTAAAGTAGAACTGTGTGCTTTAAGGAATCACAGGTGGGAACAAAACTTCACCAACCTCCTCTGTTGTGTTGTTGCCTGGAAGAAATCCTGCAGGCCACCACATTGCATTGTGGGCTGACCTAATGCTTTCAAGCTGAGTTGCGGGGATCTCAAATGTGCACATGAAACAGACTGAGAGTATATATAGGACAGGGACAGAAAGCACATTGGATCACAAAGCAACACCCCCTGCCAGCACACAACTGTTCTCCACTCTTTACCCCTCAAGGACATGAATAGAGCTGTCTGTCATTGCAAAGAATAAACTCCTTCAGACCAGAAAGTGGGCATGTTGCATTATCTGTGCAGAACACGCCACCGAGTAGACACACAAAGAAGAGTTAAATATTAATAAACATCACTTTGTAGGACAGAAAAGAGCAGGGAAAAATTCAGCTGCCGAGTAAAGTTTCTATAATCACAGTCAGTTCTCCATAATGCGCTCCAATCATCTCCATTTGCAGGAAAAAGAAAAATGGCCCGGGTCCTTCCGTCACACATCACACGTCTGAGCAGAAATTGGCCCAAATGAGACACCCAGGGGAGAGAAGGAACGAAATCACAGAATTTCCCTGATAAAGATGAAGATAGGAACAAGATGAAAGCAATCTGCTTCTTACTCCAGTGAAATGTAATTATGTATTAAGGTCTCACTGCATGCCAGGCCGTTTATTTTTAATCCTGGCATAGTTAAGTAGCTAAGCCATTCTCACTTTAAAAACAAGGAAATGGTGCTCAGTCAGGCGTCTTGTCCTGGTCTTGGCAGGACTGGGATTTGAACCTCTGTCTGTGTGAGTATCGGCACTTCCTATTGATCACAGCACTTTTCTGAGTGCCTCCTGGAGGTGAATCCTAGTGCTCAGGGAAGTACAGGGTTATAAAAGATACATCTAGAGTTTAAAAATAAAGAATACAATCTTCACAACCATCCATATTTGAGATGGATAGAGAGAGCGACAATAGCATCTCAGGGATCTTCAGGTACGGTTTCAATAGCAGGGGCAAAAATGGAGATGGGGTGGAGGGAAGGGGGTAGAGAGAGAATGGGAGCAGGTGTATTGACAAAAATTTAAAACTCCTGTGGACGCTCTGATGCAGCATTTCTCAGGGTCTCATGTGGCATTTAAAGTGTTAATCAAGTTAACACACTTGTTTCTGAGAATAGATAGAATCCGTGGAGTTTTCTAGTGATGTACTTGTTACAACAGAGGGAAAACACTTCTTAATAAATTATTCAGTGATGGTTTGGTGTTCATCCAGTGCTGCTGAATATAATGAGATCATGTAAACATTTTTCAATTATTTTCTACTAAGACGGAAGAGAAAGCAATTGGTGGTCCCTGAGAAATATCTTTCCCAGATCACTAACCTTTAAATATTTGGATTCATTGCATGTTTGGCCAATGTCTATGTAGACATTTAGTTCTTTATTTTTAAACTCTAGATGTATCTTTTATAACCCTGTACTTCCCTGAGCACTAGGATTCACCTCCAGGAGGCACTCAGAAAAATGCTGTGATCAATAGGAAGTGCCGATACTCACACAGACAGAGGTTCAAATCCCAGTCCTGCCAAGACGAGGACAAGACGCCTGACTGTGCACCAACATCACAGTGACTTGTGCAAGTGTGCCCATCCCACCTGAGTATGTCTATAGGGTTTTTATGTGTGTGTGTGTGTGTGTGCCACAGGCTGAATTTAGAAGCTGAGAATTTGCAAACACAAACAAGAAAATGACCAAAGAACAAATTTAGTTGAGAAAATGCCACAAAATTAAATGATGCGATGAAGCAATAAATATTTGTTTCTCAGAAAATTCTAAGATAGTATTGATGATCCCATTCACTCCTTCAACCCCATGTTACTATTCGGCTGCTGCCTTACACTTCTCCTGCCTTTTATGGTAAACTTTTTAATCCAGCGTCTTTCTCAGTACCTCCATATCATCCAATCTGCTCACAGCCTGCTCTGCTCCACCAAAGTGCTGCCACTGTGATTGCCTTTTATTGCAGGTGTTCTTCACTCCTAATTTTTCTTGACAGCTCAACATCTTTGCATCTTTTAGTACAGTGTTCCACTTCTTACTTTAGATAGTCTCTCTCCTCTGCTACCCATCCTCACATCTAGTCCTTTGACAACGCCTTCTTGTCTCTTGCTGGCCTCTCCTTCCCTATTCAGTTTTCAAATGTTGGCATTCATAGGGGGCTTCTCCCTTTTTGTCTAAATTTCTGCCTCTTACTCGTGTAGTTTTGGATACCACCTACCAATATGACTTCAAATTTTTTTCCTAATTATTTCTTAGTCTGCATCTGAAGTCCATACCTGACTCCAGAATTAGATATACAAGTATATCTCCCCCACTAGCACCTCTAGTTTAATGTCTCACAGGTACCTCAAACTCAGCGTATTCAAGCATGAATTTATACCTCACTTCCGGTCTTCCCTCACAAATGAAAACGAAAACACAAAATACCAAAATTTATGAGAAGCAGTGAAAGCAGTGCTCAGAAGGAAATTTATAATTGTAAATTTTAAAAAAAAGGAAGATCTGTATTTTTCAAAGGATGAAATACCAATGGCCAATAGACAATGAAAAGATGCTCAAGATCAATAGTAATCAGGGAAATGCAAGTAAAAACCACAATGAGGTTCCAATGGCTCTCATACAGAAATCCACAAACATCAAATGCTGGCGAGGATGTGAAGAAGGTACTTAATACACTATTCATGAAAATATAAAGTAGCACAACCATCATGGGAGACAGTATGGCAATTCCCCAGAAATCTGAATACAGATCTACCACATTACCCAGTTATCCCACTCTTGCGAATTTCCCCCAAAGGAAATAAAATCAGCATGTGAAAAAGTTATCTGTACACACATATTTATGGTAACTCAACTTACAATAGCTAAAATATGGAATAACCTCAGATGTTCATCAATTGATGACTGGATAAAGAAATTGTAATATGTATATATGATGAAATACTATTCAGCCATAAAAAATGAAATCTTGCCTTTTGCAATAAAATGCATGTGGCTGGAGACAATAAGTGAAAAAAGCCAGTCTCTGAAAGATAAATAGCATATGTTTTCACTGATATGTGGTAACTGATATACAGAGTATTTAAGAAATATAATGTATATGAGTGAAATTGACATTTTTAGATTTTATTATGGTCTATGGCTTTGACTAAACTCTTGAGGAGCAGTGGCTTTTCTGCTTACTACTTGTTGAATTCTTCATTTAGTGTAGGGTTTAGCTTGTGAAAGAAAATTGAAAGTATGTCATTGTAAAAAGTAAGAGAAAAATAAGGAGGAGAAAGGCTGAGATTAAGTGAAAGAGGGGGAGTATGGTAGGGAGTATCATTATGCTCTTAAAACTGTATATCTATGGAATTTTCTGTACAAACCTGTATGAATGTACTGTTAGAATAGATACATTTTTTAAAAAAAATCTGAACTAAGCCAAGTATATCTGACCATGTTAAAATGGTATATTTTTATTAAAATTTGAATGCATAAAAAACTGTATATATGAAATTTGCTTCCTTTATGTAAAGAAAAATGTAAAAAAAAGTAAATGAAAGATGGAAAAAAATCTCAAATGAGCAACACTATATGGAACTAGTAAAACCAGTGTTAACTAAATCCAAGTCTTATTGAAGGAAAGAAAAAATAAAAATTAGAACAGATAAATGAGAAAAAGAATAGAACAGTAGAATCACCAAAAAACAAACACTGATCCTTTGAAAAGGTAAATAAACTGTCATGCCATGAGCTGAGTTGACTTTGGAGAAAAGAGAGACCACATAAATAAAGTCATATATGGCAGTGAAGACTTTACTACGGTCCTACAGATGGGATTATAGGAGAATACTATCAACAACTGCTTATGAGCACAATAGACACGATAGACAACCAGGATGAAATGGAAAAATTCTTAGAAAAACAGAAATTACAAAATATGACTTAACAGGCAATAGAAAATCTGAGTAAACATGGTAAAAGTAAAGAGATAACTTGAAAATATCTTCCAAACAGAAAAGTTCAGGACTAGACGGCTTTATTGGCAAATTGTACCAAACATTTAGAAAAGACAATGCCAATCTTCTCAAACACTTCTAAAAAATAAAAGAGAACAGAACATTTCCTAAACCATTCCGTGAGACCATTATCCTGACACTGAAGCCATGTGAATACGCTACAAGAAAACTTCATACCAATATTCCTTATGAATACGGATGCAGAATTCCTCAACAAAATCTTAGAAAGCTGAATCCAATAGCATATTAAACGGATTATACACCATGACAAAGTGGGATTTGTCCCATGAACCCTAGAGTGATCTAACAAAAGAAAATCAATTACTGTAATACACCATATTAATCTAACAATAAAAAGGAAGCCTGCATGATCTTGTCAACTAATGAAAAAAAAAAACTTCACAAAACCCAATATTATTTCAAGATAAAAGCACACAGCAAGCTAGGAATAATATGCAACTTTCTTAATATCATAGACAAAGGGACATATAGGAAAAATTCATAACTAAAATAATACTCAATAGTGAAAATCTGAACATTTTCCCTTTAAGATAAAAACTGATAGAACTAATAAACATGAAAGTTATTTGTGTTTCTATATAAATTAGTTGTATTTCAATGATAAACTGTACTAAAAGAAAATTGGGAAAATTATTCTATTTACCTAGGAATAAGTTTATCCAAGGAGGTGAAAGTCTTATACCCTGAAAACTATAAAATATTGCTGAAAATAATTAACAACCTAAATAAATGGAAAAACATCTTATGATCATGGATTGGAAGATTATATATTGTTAAGATTACAATGCTACCTAAAGTAATCTACAGATTCAATGCAACTCTATCAAAAGTTCAGTGACTTTTTTTTTTTTTGACAGGCAGAGTGGACTGTGAGAGAGAGAGACAGAGAGAAAGGTCTTCCTTTGCCGTTTCTTCACCCTCCAATGGCCGCCGCGGCTGGCGCACCGCGCTGATCCGAAGCCAGGAGCCAGGTACTTCTCCTGGTCTCCCATGGGGTGCAGGGCCCAAGGACTTGAGCCATCCTCCACTGCA